TGACTTCACATCTTACACCTCACTGACAGTAACTACAGCACAAAGGCTCACACACCAAATGCTTATTAAATAGAAGATAAATGTGCCTTATAAATCCATTTCACAAAGAGTTCATATTTTGTGTGTTATGTCTGCATCAGTTGTACATTTTTGGCAGTTGCTTCACATCTTGATGTAGTTTTAACAGCTTTGAACGCTACATTTTTAGTCACTCTTAATATTTTTAATGCTTTTTTCCCCCGGTCTTATGTCTTATTTTTCAATTACTTAACATTTTACATTGCCTAAGACAAAAAAAAAAGTGCTCTGCCTCTGAGGACACTTTCCTTTTCGTAACTCACTTCCTACTGCACTGACCTTCCCGAAAAGCATTGGAGGTTAGAAAACACGGACTGTTTACGCAGTAGGAACAGAGTTCACAGATATGTTTTTATGATCATATCATTCTTCATTACTTTTCTGTAGTTGACTTTACGTGTTACTTTCAGGGTTTGAATTGAACATTTTCACTCACCAGCCTATTTGGCTACTAAATTAAGTTACTGGTCATTTTGAACTTATGCTAAACCAGATTTTCGAAATCACGGCTTAGATTTAAATATTTTGATTCTGAATCATTGAATGGCTTTCTGTTGTACAATAAATTCTTGTTTGTAGATACGATCAAAGCAATATAAAAACACAATTCTCTGTGACTTTTCTTATAAAACAGCATTTATTTTATTGTAATTTTCAGACATGGCATATTCCAAAATGAATGTTTAATGGCAAACATGTTGAAGATTAGCCGATCAGCTGTTTTCTACAGTGGCCGAGAAGTGCAAAGCAAATCACAATTCTGAAAACAAAATAACAAATTACAAACGCAAATGCAAGTCTAAAAAACAAAATAACAATTCAGAAAGCACAACAACAATTCAGAAAACATTATAACAAGTCATAGTAAGTCATCAGCTCCAGTGGCACAGATGGATAAGCACATGCCTTTGGCTTTTTGACGCGTTCGACTCGGGTTCGATCCCGTCTTTTGCCGAACTTTTTTTTCCTCCCTTTTCAAATCTCGTATTAAGGTATTTTCACTTAGTGTAAATAGAATCCATTGCTAATACGAGATTTGAAAAGGGAGGAAAAAAAAGTTTGGCAAAAGGTGGGATCGAACCCGGGTCGATCGCGTCACAAAAAGCCAAGGACACGCGCTTATCCATCTGCGCCACTGGTAAATAGACTCCCTGTATTTTTTATTCCAGAGTAAGGGCAATTCATACAATACATTTAAACTGAACTACTTTAATACCATCTCCGAACTTTCTACCACAACTCTGCTGTTCTTCGGCTGGTTCTTCCCTGTATACGTTGATTGACAGATGTCTCGTCCAGTCAGCGGTGAGTAATCCCAAACCAATGGCGCTGTCTCAAACTATACCTACCTCTTCCAGTTTGTCTGATTTGTCGTTGTGTTTTCTGACTTGTAAATTAGTTTTCGGATTTGTCGTTGTGTTTTCTGATTAAAATAGCAGGATTTCTACTATCAAGTATACTACTTGTTGCAAATAGTGGCAATTATGTAGTACATTATAAAACAGTATGCAATAATAACGTATTGAGTGTAAATTTTAATTGTAATTATTAAATGGATGCCACCTTATTGGTACAATAAAGCCCTCCCTACACCCTATCCTGACCCTACCCGATACTTTATTTTAAATTTTTTTATTATTTCCTTAATTTTTATTGAAAATAAATGCCTTTACGATGTGATACGAGATTTGAAAAGGGAGAAAAAAAAAGTTCGGCAAAAGGCGGGATCGAACCCGGTTTATTTGTTTTTGGATTTGTCGTTGTGTTTTCTGACTTGTAAATTTGTTTTTGGATTTGTCGTTGTGTTTTCTGACTTGTTATTTTGTTTTCGAATCTGTCATTGTGTTTTCTGACTTGTTATAATGTTTTCTGAATTGTTGTTGTGCTTTCTGAATTGTTATTTTGTTTTTTAGACTTGCGTTTGTAATTTGTTATTTTGTTTTCAGAACTGTGATTTGCTTTGCACTTCTCGGCCACCGTAGTTTCCTCACAAAAGTCAACTTACTGAGCTTCTCCATTTAAAAAAAGCCAACCCGTTTAAGAAGTGGCCTCGTCTCCTATAGGGCTCCAGGCTCGCACTGCAGGTATCGCACATAAGATCCATCATTCTGTACTCTCCTTCAAAGACAATTGAGGATTTTGAACAGCTTTCGGAGTTGTAGCAGGGTGCTGTCGGCAGATGCAAAGTGGTGCATTGTTACATAGAAAAGCATTTTAAAGTTGTAGACCCTCTTTATGCTTCGTTTTGCTGATCTAGCTCCTGGTTCAAAGACATAATTTATTAATCATAACTCGCAAAACTGGCTAGTGTGTTCATATGTGTTACCAGACATGGTTGATTTTTCACCTGCTTTTGTTCATTTCAAACCCTGGATAAGCTGTTGTCACTGTGGTTTGCCACATCGTTGTCTCTTTAAGGGCACCTAACCGAAAATGTCACTGTGACCTCACCCTGTTAAAGACAATTGACAGCTAAGACAGGAAAGAGACTCATTCAGATGCTGACCTGCTGGTCTTGAGTACAATGCAGTCAATGAGGGGAGGGCTGGGTATCCTGAGGCACGGCAGGTGTGGAGGGAGGGGGTCCCAGCTTCATTACTGTCAGTGTGTGTGTGTGTGTGTGAGACAGTGTGCTCACTTATGTGTTTTAAGAGGACTGGACTTCCTACATTTCCTCACGGACGGGTGGGAACAGGAAAGCAAGAATTATATCCGCCCATTCCCTGTCTGTAAGAGGTCAAAGTTCTCATTTGTCACCCACGAGTCTGGCACTCTCACTCTCTGCTGACCTCTGACTCACTTTCCCTATACACTAATATAATGCATGTCAGTACACGCTTTATTGCTTTATCCTTCTCCACCTGGGTTAGGGAATCACTATCACTAATTTGGACCAATTTGCAAAAACAAATGCATAAGAAGTGATTAAATCAAGTACAATAATAATAAAAAAGAGATGAAAATGAAACGTGAAATCAGTGGTTTAAAGTATAAGTGATAGTACTGTATAACTATACTAAATCTGTACTTCACTTGAGTTCTGTTAAAACCGAATACTTGTACTCATTTACATTTGCAAGGAAATATAACTATACTTTTTACTCCGTTACAATTTTATGTAGACTTAAAAATAAAAAGTACATAAGTCATCCTGATTTAAATCTTTCTGTGATTTCAAAAATGTCTTTGATATAAAAAGATTGTTTTCTTGTATTTAAACGAGCAATTACATTTTTCAGTGTAAATACTGAGAATTTATTTATTTAGATATATAGGTAGATCGTAAAATTAAATGTGGAATATTTTTGCCTCGGATACTTAAAATTTTAATTGAGTCAAAATGTTTAAAATATTTGTAATTTAACAAATACAATTTCTCATTACTTTTTACACTCCCGTGTAAAATGCAGCATGAGAACGTTAAGGAGCACATTTGAATGATGAATCTGTAAACAGTTCATTGAATTTAACCATCCAAACAAAATTATTTTGTAAAATCGGACTGTGAAACTAATAAAAAAAATCTGCCCACAAAATGAATGAATTAGCATGCTATAATACTGGAGGTAGTGAACATGAAAGTGAACACTGACTCACTGTCACATAAAGTAAACTGAGAATGACCAGAATTATGTGATGCCATATTTTGTTATAATATTACTCACATTTTTGTAACAGTGCAATTTCATATAATGAAAAAAGTTAAATAATTCAAATCGGAATTTTTTTTCTTCTAAAAACAAATTCTATAAAAATAATGGAATTTTATTAAAATATCTGTAAACAGATCATTGAATGTAACCATCCAAACAAAATTATTTTGTAAAATCGGATTTACTAATCGGACTGTGAAGAAAAAAAATCTGCCCACAAAATGAATGAATTAGCATGCTATAATACAGGAGGTAGTGAACATGAAAGTGAACGCTGACTCACTGACACACACAGTAAACTACTGTTAGGAGCAGGACGCTCTGTGACCAAGTTTCCTTTTATTGACTTCACACAGCTTACCAAATGGCAATTAGACAATAAGGAAGCGTCAGTAATACAGAACAAGATTACCAAACACACACACCCTCATATACCAAATACACATACACGCACAGAAACACATGCTTTGGTTGATAAAAGCACTTTAATTAGCCTACAATTCGATCTTGCGGCAAATACCATCTTGAGTGGAAAGAGTGAAAACAGGAAATTAAAATGGCGATTTTTGCAAGGAGTCAGCATACAAAAATGGCGAAAATTGATATGTACAAAATATGTACAATGGCGCTATATACATCCAAGTATTATAAAAATCTTGTACATCTCCAACATGACAGGCAATAATTAGCAAGATTTTAAGGATGTCACCCGGCACTTTTTCAGACGCCGCTGCTATCTTTCTCCATAATTCCTTTAAAATGTCAATCACGGACACAAATAGGCTACACTGTTTTTTACACAAGTATCAAAAATTCAGGGAGTTGCGATAATGTGCATGGCTTTGTGGAAATGTATGGCAAACCGTCCACAAACACAGTCATACATATACACTTACACGCTCATAAACACACGCACACTTACAGTCATGTAGGTGTAAACACGATAAAATACACTTAAATATCCAGGATTCAAAGAAGTTGAATTGCTGGCCTTTCAAACCAGACAGGGTCCAAAATGAACACTCGCCAAGTGCAAAATGTGCATAAAATGGCTTTGGGGTAAATAAAGTGGATGTTGAAATGAATGTTTTAAATCGAATTATACAAATGATAATCTCATCCTCACTGATGTAAATCACGTGAGTGATTAAAAATCAAACAGTCTACTAAATAAGTCCATAACTTATTATCTCGAATTTATGATAATGACCAGAATTTTGTGATGCCATATTTTGTTATAATATTACTCACATTTTTGTAACAGTGCAATTTTATCTCATGAAAAAAGTTAATTCAAATCGGATTTTTTTTTTTTCTAAACACAAATTCTATCAAAATAATGGAATTTTATTAAAATAAATACAGTTTCATGACTGATTAGAAATATTTATGTCTGTTAAATATTCTGAGTTTACCCACCATTGACAAGTGTGTTAAAATTTTGGACCCTGTCTGTCCGTACAGTTTCTTCAGCCTGTGACTGTGCCAATAATTCCCTTCCAAGTTTGAACCCTCTCTATAATGCAAAGCTCAGAGGTCAAGGTTCACCAGCAGAGGTTGATTACGATACATCAAACACAACAGACCCTCTGAACCAAGAAGTCAGAATCCTTCCCAGTGGTCAAAGTGCGGTCACACCTCCAGTTCCTGGTTCTCTGCATAGTGGAAACGGTTTAGTTTTTCCCGCTCGCGGTTGCAAATGTCCAGCTTGGACCCGTGGGCTGGTTTTATAGCTGGAGAGGGCACAGGTGAGGGAGGAAGTGTAAGTTCAATCTCTTCACTGCAGAGCACTGGCATGGGCACAGAGGTGGGCACTGTTTGGGCAGGAGGCAGCAGGGCCACGCTGTGGTCGAGGTTACGGATGAGCCCTTTAAAGCACAAAATGAAAACGGACCCTATTTACTTTGATAGCACTCATTACTAGTTTTGTGATGAATAATTAATCCACAGAAAAAACATATCTTTGTAATCTTTAGTCAAATTCTGAAAATGTGCTTCCCCTCTGTAAATACGTTCCTTTGGGCAGAATATCCTTAACCACTCCCCTCCAACCGCCAATCTGCTGCAGGCTAGAAATTGTGAGGATGAGCGCTAAAATCAAGAATTCTCATTCCATATTCTATTTTATTCTGAAATTCGCCACAATTCTGATGTCTTCAACTGGATGCAAAATAACCATTTTTATTTTCCAATATGACATTACCATGGTTAAAGGATGCAGTTTGTACGAAGTGAAGTGAAATTCAATAAATAATTGCATGATAATTATAATTCATTAACAGAAGAAATAGTTAATTAGCCAAACGTGTTGCTAAAATAACAAAATCAAAAATCATTTGCTTGCCAAATTAACAAAAATTTAAATTAATGTGCAGTCACAGCAATCAACATGGCTCATCCAATCAAATTTTAGAATTGTTTTATAATATAAACTACCTTTGAAAGGTTTGGGTTCATTAAGATTTTTAAATGTTTTTAAAAGAAGTCTCTTATGCTCACCAAGGCTGCATTTATTTGATCAAAATACAGTAAAACATTAATATTTTGAAATTTTACAATAACTGTTTTCTGTTTTAATATATTTTCAAATGTAATGTATTCCTGTGATTGCATAGTTGAATTTTCTGCAGTTATTATTCCAATCTTCAGTGTCACATGATCCTTCAGAAATCAATTCTGATATACTGACTTGCTGCTCAAGAAACATCATTATCAATGTTGAAAATAGTTGTGGAAACATTTTGTGGAAACTGCTATATTTTTTCAGTATTCTTTGATGAATAGAAAGTTCAAAAGAACAGCATTTACGTTAAATAGAAATCTTTTGTAACATTATAAATGTCTTTACTGTCACTTTTGATCAATTTAATGCATTCTTACAGAATAAAAGTATACATTTGAGTGTATATTTTAGCAATTGTGACAATCTGACTTATCTGACAATCTCACTTAAATTGTTCCTAATAAAACACTAAAGAAAATATTACTTCTACCCACATTTGCCATCTCCGTATGGCTCCGTTAAAACCAAGCGGCAACCTCCCGCTCTCTCTCGTGAAGCCAACAAGGAAGTGACTTAAACTGTAAATCATCAACTGGCCGCTAGAGGCTGGCTGCAAAAGGGAACTCACTCTCAAAGACAGATCTCTTTGTGCTGACGCTAACGGCTGTTTTCTGAGGTGTCACTGTGACACATGACTGCATTTCCCAGAGTGTCAACAGTTCAGAGACACTGATACACTCCAAAGAGCCACAGCTGATTTGGGCCTTGGGGCAATGGAGTGTGAGAGAGACTCTCCCAGCAATCAGCAACATCAGCGATGGATCCAACCACAGGTCCTCTTTATTCAGCAATTAAATCCACTGCACACTGTAGCATGAAATTGTCTGATGTGGTTTAACGGATAATGGTCAGTGGAGCACTGATGCTGCTGAATATTTTCAATGTGGCTTGTGCTGATACGGAATTTATTAACACAAGATGTGTTTACTTTCCCCAGAAAGCTGAGTTTCCCATCTCTGGATATGATTGTTATGATTTGGTGGTTTCAAATGGCAAACGTGGTGGTGGTCTCATGGTTTCTGTAATATTTTTACAGGGTTTCTTAGATTTAATTCCTTGGTGCCTTTCTAGTCTATATACCCTGAGAGTGAGGTGAGGAACCCGAGCATAAACAAGAAAGAACAGGTGTTCACATTACAGACAGGTAAAAACAGACTGTGACAAGTTTAGGCAGGTAGAGGCAGGTTTCATCAGGTGAGGCTGTGGATGGGAACGAAGTAAGGCCAAGTTAGGCATGTGCGGACATGTATGAACGGCTCAGGACAGGTGAAGCTAGAGTGTTGCTTTTAATACTTACCGAGCTGGCAGGTTCTGCCAGTCCAGAACGGAGGACACAGACACTGGAAACCTTGCGGCGTCTCTTGACACGTGGCCCCACGCCCACAGGGATTGGAGTCACACTGCAACACCACTGCAGACGAAAAGAACATGTTCTCTGTCTCATCATGTGATTTCACTGCCTTTAAATCTACCCATCTGTCCATCCATCCATCTATCTATCTATCTGTATGTCCATCTACTGTATCTACCATCCTCATGTCTATCATCTATCTATATCCATCCAACAACTGTATCTACCCATCCTCCTGTCTGCCTATCTATCCTCCTGTCTACCCATCTATCCTTCTGTCTATCCATCCATCTACCTACCTACCTCTCATCTGTGCATCCTAGATGTGCATGTGTGTGATTGCTGATTGTTTGTGCTCCAGCTAAGGAGCATTTTTTTTTTGGTGTAGATCTGACTAAAACTGGCTGCAGCAGTACAGGAAATAACAGCTTCCTTTGATTGGTGCTGATTGCAGTCTGTGCAGGTGTGTGTGTGTGCGTTTATATGTTTAACTACCGGAGGCACAGGAGGGTCCCGTCCATCCCTGCGCACACGCGCAGCTGAAGCCTGTTGGGTCTTCAACACACGTTCCACCATTCTCACATGGAGAGGAGAGACAGGCGTGCTCCACTGTTAAGGGGACGAGAAGAAACGATACACACTTATAATCTGCATCACATCTGTGTCTTATGTCCTGTGCTATCACCACCTGTGTCAGAAGTGCTTACTGTACAGCTTTATTCTGTTTGGAGCAGAAATGACACATTTCACCTCTGACATGAACAGAGAGTTTAAGCTGTTGTTATCTGCATTTGTCATCTTACAGTGATTCTTGGTTTAAGGCTTTAAACTCCAGAGCAGTAAATTTATCTCTTATCAACACCTCACAGAGCTACATCAGAAATCACATGTTAACACAGACTAAAATTATCATTACAGAGGAGATAATTGGTCAGACTCATGCTGGGTGGCACAGCGAAAAATAAGAGCTGATAGCATGCAGCGCTTCTTCTAGGAGTGAATTTTGACTACAATATTCGGCAGATTTTTTTTTGGAACAGCACATCTTTGAGGTGTGGTTGCAATAGGCTGTCAGGGTTGACAGACTTTATGGTTGTGTTTTATAGAGTCATCTCACCGATGTCACAATTGCGGCCACGGAAACCCTCCTTGCACACACACAGGTACTCATTGGGTTCAGTGTTGGTACAAGTACCCATGTTCTTGCATGGGTGATGGTTACCACAATAATTCAGATCTGTATACAAGAGAGAGAAACATGTTTTTGCAGTTAGGAAAATCTGACAATTTATTATCTTGAAATTGATGTGCTTTTTGATTCGAAGAGCAAAAATTAGACAATAGAACACACTTATTATTGTGCTTTAGCAGCGGAGCCACTTCAGTTTCAACCAACACAGTGGTTTGTAGTGGTGACTGCAAAATTTAGTACCAAACGTCCACTTTCCATGATCCAATCAATTCCTTATGGATAAAATCAAGTCCCGTCACACTTCTTTTTTTCCTGTTAAATATCCTGTTTCACCGAATATCACATTATGGTAATACACTGGGTTATGAATGTTGTTCCATGTTGACTTAAGAAATAAAAAAAAAACTTGTGGTAAGGACAAAACCAATGCAAATTTATCATCATTTAATTTTTCCTTGCAGCAAAAAAGAATGATAAACAGCCCTCCAACCAACTTAAGCCAAATTAAAGCCACATGATTCAGAGTACTGTTTTCTTACTCAAATTATTAAAATTAATCCATTTTAAACTGACTCAAACAGTACTGATAGCTATGTGAAAACAGACGTGATCCAAAACTGATCCACATGCCATCACTTCCAGCAATACAATATACCAACATCTGTAATAAGAACACATGTGACCTGCACTCTCACCCCTCTTTCCATCCATAGGTGAATATATGTGTATAAGAGCTCCCTAAAATTTACATTTACCACTGGGAACTGTTGCTTGTAGGAAAAGGATTTTCTAAACAATAATTGCAAGCTCAGACTCATGGGGTTACACAAAATGCCAGTTTGGTCTAGACACAAATTGAGTTTGACGTCTCAGACTTTGTTTAAATGTAGTTTACTTCATAAATCATACAAAATCTAACCAAGAATTCCTACAAGGTCATGCTTGAAGGGATGAGTTCAACTCAAATGGATTGTTTCCTGAAGATATACCCACAACACCCAAGCATGCTTAACTGGAAGAATTATAACCACAACATACAAATAGACACACAAATTAAAACCAGCGCTATGATGGAAAATGATGCAGGCTGCAGACTGGCTCCTGAGATCTGAGTTTAGAGGGAGGGAGTGAGTGAGTGAGTGAGTGAGTGAGTGAGTGTGTGTGTGTGTATGTGTGTGTGTGTGTGGCCATAGAGATCTAGCTAGTATCTAGTTTTATGACCTCAATTCATCTGTCTGCATAGGTTTAGTCCTTTGTGTGTGTATATATATTTGTGTGTGTGTGAGGGTGTGACAGTGCCATTCACTAAACCGCTGAATGGCAAGAGCCCTTTTTAGCCTCCACCTCACGGCTCACGTTCTGTTTACCCAAGACTATCGGCTTACACCTCTACAAAGCCCTAACGAAACCCCACGCGTGGGTCCATATCAGCTAATCTGGATCTATTTACACAAATGTTGCCTATACAGTAAGCGGTTAGCATGTCTCGGAATCAATGAATCAAATGACTCACGTGTGATAAAATATGTTTACCACTTTTCATTTTATTAACGCCATTAACATGTTTATTCAATATGACATTACTTCATTATTTCTCTCTCCAAAACCCTGCCTTGCAAAGGTGTTGTCAGCAATCCTGCACAAAATGATTGACAGGCAGATTCAGATAAAATAAAGTGTTTTCCTATTTTATTGACATCTGTCAGGTAGTATTTCTGATGAGCTGCAGAGCTACTCTAGCCCCCTTTTTTACTCCAGCCACCTGCATCAAATAAACATAAATATCATAGGTATTTTTCCCTAATAATTAATTCATTCTAAAAGTTCATTATATAAAGTTTGGGGTCAGTGAGTTTTTTTTTTGTTTTTTTTTTAAAAGAAATTTATACTTTTATTCAGCAAGGATGTATTAAATTGGTCAAAAGTCACAGAAATTTGTAACATTTTAAATATCTTTACTATTTCAAACGAATGCTGTCCTTTGGAACTTTCTATTCATCAAAGAATCCTGAAAATCATGGTGTATCACCGTTTACACAAAAAATATTAAGCAGCACAACTGTGTTCAACACTGATCATAATAAGCAATGTTTCTTGCAAATCAGTATATTAGAATGATATCTGAGGGATCATCTGAGGGACTGGAGTAATGGCTGCTGAAAATTCAGATTCGCCATCACAGTAATAATTTACATTCTAAAATAGGTTAAGATAGAAAAAAGTTATTTTGAATAGTAATAATATTTCACAATATTTCTGTTTTTATTTTATTTTTGATCAAATAAATGCAGTCTTAATGAGCACAAGAAATTTCTTTAAAACACATCTTACGGACCCAAAACTTTTGAAAGGTAGTGTACTGTATATGTAAATTATTTCTGACAAGACAAGTGTTGAAATCAGCCTCTTTCTGCTGTCTTTAAATATGCGCATATATTACAGCTACAGCTAAGGACAACTAAGTGTCATCCACATATTTGTTTCTTAAAAAGCAACTCATTGTGTCACACGTAAGACAGAAAATTATGAAATTAATCACAAGTAAATATTAAAAACTGATTGATGGCCCTAATTATAAGAACAGTCATTTTTGCACACATATGCTCCAGCACATTTCCTTGTGTTGCAGGTGTCATCTCACCTTTGTCACAGAGCAGGCCGCCCCAATTTGTGTCACACACACACTTCCAGGGTTCAGTGCAAGTGCCGTGATCACACCCAGGAAACGTCTCGCACTCATCGCACAGACCACCCTTCCAGCCGTAATTACATCTACAGAGAAAGAGAGAGGTTACAGCAGACAGGAAGTGAGAAAAAGACAAACAAAACCAAGTACTGAATATGGCATGCATCAGCGCTCGGTGGAGCTTGCAGAGAGGGTGTGATATTTCTGAAACCTGGACAGACTCACTTGCACTCTCCGGGCAGATCGCAGGAGCCGTGGTCCATGTGACATCCCTGCTTACACACCGCTACACATGCACACAGACGGTTGACTCAGATTAGTGATATGATGATCAAAATTATTCACTACAGACATCTTACAGGTGCAGAGGATCATTAACACTCATAACTGAATTAGACAAATAGAAAAAAACTTTCAAATGGACACATACGCCATTGCCAAATGTAACAGGTCATGATGTGATGCGCCGCTTACTCAACTATTGTTAATATAATGCTAGCTGAATGTTTTCACTTAGGATATGGTGGTAATAGGTTATCTTCCTTGATCATCTCATGGGAGACATTTCTCTCTCCCTTAAAGGCAGAGTAAGTGATTTCTGGTAGCCAATGTTGATATTTGAAATCACCAAAACAAACACGCCCCTACCCCAAAAGGGTCTTGCCCCTATTTTGATAGCTCCGCCCCACATATACGTACGCAACCCAGGCAACGATTAGTTCTGTGTTCTAAAGTGTTTTTGAAAAATCACATACCCTGCCTTTAAGTCACTCACAAGCCACTCACCTTGTCTGCACTCTGCTCCAGTCCAGCCCTCCTTACACACCTTAATACCGGAAGGATCACAGTTGAAATGGCCAAAAAAGTCATCTCGTGCTCGGCAGAATTTGTTGCAGAGTGGGCCGTAGTAATTGGTATCGCAGCGGAATCGCAGGCGGTATTCTAGAGTGAATGTGCGGCCGTGATGGCGGAAGGACTGCCACTGCTCACCTGGATTCAGCATGGAGGACAGCAGCACTCGCTCTATTAATTCCTCCCTACCTGGGGGGGACAGACAGAGTAAAATAAAATAAAAATCTCTTTCTCATTTTTCCCTCTAAAGGACATTGAAAAGCTATCAGATGATATGTGCCAACAAAAGTAAGACTGGACCTGAAAGGAATAATACATTTTAAGCTTTAAATATAAATTCATTACTTTTTTTATTATTATTAAATCAACAGCTCAAATTGACAGTCCCTTTTTTTAAGCAAGCAAAAACTGCTATTATAGTAACGCACTTACAATAGAAGTACATGTGGACAAGCATTAAGCATACAAGAACAAAGGCGTTTTAAAAATAAAACCACGACATCTTAAATAGCAATATTAAGTATTAAACAGTAAGTAATATTAAATATTATTAAATATTAAATAAGTTAAGTAATATTAAACACTGTACACTACAGCTCAAAAGTGTGGGATCAGTAAGATTTTTTTTAGGTTTATGAAAGTCTCTTCTGCTCACAAAGGCTGCATTTATTTGATCAAAAATACAGTGGAAATTCTGTAATATTATTACAATTGAAAATAACTGCTTTCTATGTGATTATATTGTGAAGTGTAATTTATTTCTGAAAACTTCATATTTTTGTGGAAACCATCATACTTTTTATTTTTCAGGATTCTTTGATGAAGTTCAAAAGAGGTGCATTTATTTAATGAGAAATCTTTTGTAACATT